TTTTTTTCTTTGATACTTTACTCTTTTTCTTGGAATAGAATGGGACAAGGGCCAAGTAAAGAGGATTATTTAATCGGATACACAAAAGATGAGGAACAAGTGACGTGGAAAGACATCGAACTGGATAAACAACAACAGATAGTTCACCTTTCTAAAAGAAACCTTTACTCTATCACACCTCATATTGGATTATTTACCATGATGAAACGAATAGATCTGTAAATACAAAGATTGTAAAGACTGTTTATAAAGTCACTCATTATTTTATATTAGTTCACATAACAGCATACGTTGTATACCAGAAGCAATAGGTCATTTACAACATTTGGAATACCTGAATTTATCACATAATCATTTAATGGAGATACCCGATACATTAAGCCAGTTATCGAGACTAAAAGAACTAGACTTATCCTATAACAAACTACAGCGCATCACACGGTTTATTGGAGACCTCGACAGATTACAGTCCATTAACCTAGAGCATAACCAACTGACTGAACTCCCCTTTACCATCGAAGGGCTTTTATCACTGACCACACTTGACGTTTCGTACAACCCAATCATCATTCTGCCCGCTCCGCTGATCCAGTTACCTTACCTACGTCGTATTCAGCTCGATGGTTGTCCACTGACAGGATCTGTAGACTTTCTAAACACACCATATAACCCACCATCACTGGTCGAGATTTGCGCTCGATTGATGACAACAGCACAGATCGAATGCCCACTGACAGAGACATTGGATCAGTATGTGTCCTCATATGAGATCTGCAATCACTGTCGCGGTCCTTACTTTGAATCCTTTGTGTCCCGAGGTCGATGGATTAAACGCAACGACGTTTGGATCCCGCTAGAGTATCGGCTTTGTTCGGCACATTGGCTTGATGAATCGGATAGAGTGATTGCGACGTTTGCAACAGCCGTGTATCCGCGTGCCTCGTTCTGCAAGAAGCAGCATCGATCAGTGTTTAAGGTATGGATGAAGCACACGGCTAGTTCGAAGTCAAGGTAGCTCATGGCTTTTTTTTTTTTTTTTGTAACCATGTAATTTTACTGTTTAATTAAAAAGAGATTTTTATTATGTCATGCGGAGAATAGTTGCATAACTGTAGCTTTTCTTTTTTTTTTTCGTAATGTCTCATTCACTTGAAGCGATTGACATTTACAGATTTCTGTCTTTTGTTCATCAGCAATCTCGAGACTTACTTGACCCACTCTTACTGTCACTGAGATCACCTCGTTTCGGCCCTGTTTCTGCTATAACAGCACGTTGGTATCCGACATTATCCAGTACGATACCTGAACTAGCTACAGACTTTCAACGTCTCATGTCAGCTGCTGAAAGTAATCCAGAGGATGACACGATGCTTCGACGAGTAGCGGATCATTATCCACTGATCTATCGCGTATCCTGCTTCTTAGAAACCGATGACCAGGTCGAACTCTTTATTCGATGCCTCTCTCTTGATCGAACGACATCTGTTGAAGAAGTCAAACCAAGTCTCTTTCAATTCCTGAATCTTCTTGAGAGCGATACCAGGCAGTGCATCGAACGCGTTTTGGTTGAAGACCCACATGGTTATCTATCCATCCAAGATTGTACGCCCTCAGATGGTTTTCTAGATCTTGACAGGCTGTCTGAGGTCATCGATGATTCAGTCTTATTTGAACAAATCATGGCAACCATTCAGTCGAATGCGGCGCGTGGACTACCATGGATAGAGAGTGTGCAACAGATTTATGAGTTGGTGCGTGATAGAGGTCTGTGGGAACAACTGGCGCCTATCTTGCAGCAAGTCATCACAGGTAAAAATAACCCAAAAAGAAAGGCGTATATTAACACTCACATAGATCCAAATGAGTATAATTCTTATGAAGAATATGTACAAAAGAACTTTTTGGATGATGGAGGACAACAGTACTTGGATCAAGAAATCGATCGTACTCAAGTAGAATTCATGCTTCAAAACCTGAAAATGTAGTCTGCGGCATTATTGTCATATCACGCGTACCCGTGTACTAGGATAATGATGATCCACTGATCCTATAAAAAAAGTGCTTTTATGCAAGATGATGTCAAATCGGATTTATTGTTCCCAAATTCAGACACATGAATAAAAAGATATAAACACAGATTTTTTTATTACTATTAACATTACAAAAGAAAGAAGGGAAGAATAATACTTTTTTAAAAGAAGCGTGTGTGCGTATATATATGTAATGTATATATAGAAGAAGTGATATATATAAAAGGGGGGAGGAGAATAATAATAGCAGTAATAGTGATAATAATAAGTAATAACGTAGAAATAATAATAGTAGTAGTAACAAGACTATACATATATATATAAAAGGAAAGAAAAAAAAGGGGGGTATGATATTAAATACATGGTTAGTTTGATTCATCCAACCAACCTAATTGACCAAAAGCTGTCCAAAGAGCGCTCGTCTTATTAACATCCACTCTACACAATTTTTGTGCAACGGATTTAGTGAATGGAATTTCTTGGTATTTTAAAGTGCGAGCAGCCAAGATAAGAGTACGTTTACAACGAAGATATTGAATTGGAGATAAACGTAGAGTAGATGCCATGGTAGCCTCAACAGGATGTAGTCGATGATAAAAGGGTTGTTGAGCAATATAAAGTGGTGCGCCTAATTCATGGTTTAGTTATCACGCATATATAAATTATACTATTATATATTCTTACCCTTCCAGGACACCTTAACAGGAATGGTATCAAGCGCCTCTTGAGATGGAACCCAGCCAGGAGGATAGAAGTCGATATCATTGGATTCAATGTCAATTGAGTCAAATGCAGAGGCAGCATCTTTACCAGTTGGCAAAACAGATGAAACGCGTCTTTTCTTGAGAGTGCATGGTTGCTTATCTTTATGAACATTGGATGGGTTCAGCTTTCTTTTTTTGGTAGGTGTCACCGCAGGCTTGTCTAACCTAGTACATTTATCGATCCTCTTTTCTTTTTCTTGGTCGTCATCTTGCTTGTTCGTATTCATTAATAACAAATCACGATAGACATTGAGAGCAAAGACTCTGTCATGACCATGGGTTGATCTTAGATAAGGCACCATCCGGCAGTAGGACTCAATGAATGCCTTTCTATTCTTTCTTGGATAGTGATCCCATTTGGGAGGTTCAGTTGGAGTCAAAGGAGGGGACAAGAGCGAATCGTCTTCAATGTGATTCTTATCATATACTTGATGCATAATGCTCAATGGTTTAGTCAAGGTCATCATTCAATAAAAAAAAAAAAAAGTAGGAGAGAGAGAAAGAAATAAAATAAAATGTTGGCTGATTTCAACTTTTTGTATTTATTTGATGCATCGCACAAAAAGAAGGGATGAGACCCGATACGCCAGTCGGTGATTGAAATAGATGTCACATTTTAAAATAATGAATAAATTCTTGTAATGCTTCTCTAATCAATATAATGTCATTCTGCTTCATTGATCCTTTTTATTTTCTGAAATTATCATTACTTAATGCCCTGAGTTCAATAATCATGAATGTTCGTTGTCTTGTAGGTTACTGAAACGAAAGAAAGAATAAAAAAACGTCATTACTTCGTTCTTACGTTTAAACTCAGTAGTAACATGACCCCGTTCTTGTCACAGGTTCTATTTGGCTTATTTGTAACTAATTTTATAATACTAAAGCAAATAAGCTTAAAAGTAATATCTAAAACAATCATTGCTTTAAAGGGGGGCACGTATAGTCAACAGCATCTGATTGAGTTGCTTCTAATTAAGGTTTATCTAGTCTTTCTTATAGTTCATGACTACACAAATACTTTCTCTTACATTCCATTGTTACCCGTGACCTGTGACCTTGACATAGTGTGTATCATATTATTTATATTATTTATTTTGTCAATAAAAAAAGTTCCCTTTATATTTAACACAGGAACAGTGCCCATGCATAATACTTGTTTCTTATTTTGTTGAAACATTTTACTGTGTCGTGATCGTGGCGTCGTCAGTTCATCGAGCATTTAGCTCATCCTGTAGAATGCATGATCAATGAATTGAAATCGACATGACTCACTTGGCAGCATAAAGTTTCTATGAGGATGGATCCGTTTGGAAGGGAACTCGTTGCACAATTAAAAGCGGCTACTGAATCATTTTGTTTTAAGAGATACATTAAATAGCATACAAACAAGGGGTAAAGGATTCAAACAACAAGAATGACACCAATCTGTTTCATTGTTGTTTGAGTTGTTTGATGAATTGAATTGAATAACAATAGGATGATTTTATATGATCATATAAATGGAATGATAATTGTAAACAAGAAAGGGGAGTTGTACAAAGACTAACCTTAATCCTGCTCAGTAGGTACAAGAGCTACTGGTTTTTAAAATAAATTTCTCTCGTAATATATAGTGCTTCAAGACCAGCTTTTTTTTTTGTGGTGTCATTCGTTCGTCTAGTCTTTATATTATTGCTTGATCTTTTTAACTATGATCACTATAAAGTCATATTTGGCACTAGTCTTATTGTAGGTAAGAACAAATGACGACTTCAATAGCTTGGCGTAAATTGAAGATGTATTTTGTTCATGCCAATAATAATGCCAATGGTTGAGAATTATAATTGTTTAACTCTCGTTGTTTCTTGTACGAGACAGTATGATCATGCAATGCCTCTCATATGTGGCTTGAGGAAAAGCTGCAGATGAGAAGGAAATGCTACGCGCATAAATTAAAAGTCACACTTGTGTGTATCCACGTATTCCAAGGCTTCTTTGCTGTTTATTACTAGCAGCCATTACTTCACTGCTAGAGTATCTTTCCCTTCATTGTTCGCGTCCTATGTTGTCATGCATGACCCCTTTGGCGCCTTATTCAAGTTGACCGCCATTGTAAAAGGCTCTTGGAGTAGTCAGGGCAGGCGGGCTTTATCCTTAGGGGAGCACACGGCAATAATCACACGAGCACGCTTCCTTCAATCCCTTTTTTCTTTGCTCTTGTCTAAAAGAAACCCACTATTCATCCCTTCCTCAATGACTGTGCTTGCTTTTTATAACATCTTTTAGCGAAAACATAGAAGCGCAATCTGACTGTGAGCACGATAAAACTTTATAGTATCCGAATTAACATGTGTCTATTTTTTGCTGCCTTTGTATCCCCACCAGCAACAGTCTTTTATGCTACGTATATGAAACCATCTCTCTGAGAATTTGATTTTGATATTTCTTTTCAGGCCATTATATCCGTTTTATATTCCTTCCTTACATTGACATCACTCAAAAAAAAGGCTTTGTCTGATAGAAGAAGGATCGCTACTCGCTGTAGAAAACAAGGTGTATTATGCTTCTCACATTGAAACCATACAAGATCCCACACTGTTCCAGAGCTGACCAAGCCTTAGTTTTTATCTGAATGAATTCATCAAATGATTTCATTCTGCTATTCTGGATAATAAACGAAAAGTGAGAGGACAGAGAAGGGGCGTCATCAGAGTGATTTTTTATTAAAGAATTTGATCATCCGGTTTATTCATCGCGCGCTAGGCTGTTTTCTTGTGAGAGATTTAGTGGCCGATCTTGCTTGTGCAACAAGCTCCCTTCCAAACAGACCCATCCTCATAAACCTCGCGCTTCCAGATAGGGCATGTCTCCTTTAATTCATCAATCAAGTATTCCATGGCATGAATCGAATCTCCCCGGTGAGCTGATGACACTGCAATCACTACACTTACTTCTCCAACTGGGACTGTTCCTGTGCGGTGATAAATCGCTATATGCTTCAAGCTCCATTTACTACGCGCTTTTTGAATAATGTCCAGTAGTACCTTTTTGGCCATAGGTTCGTACGCTTCATAATCCAATTGAACAACCTTTTTACCTATTACACTTTTGTGTTATCAAATTATACATCTAATGGTCAATATAAAAGGGTGTACCTTCAAACGTATCTCTTGTTGTGCCCGAAAAAGTCGATATGGCTCCTGCTGAGTCATCCTGCACTATTTTGACAATATCGTCCAACAAAGGTAACCCCTCGTGAGTGATAACCACCGTATCTTTTGTCATGAAGAATAAATGTATTCATTACACCTCATCCCCCCTCCTCTCAAAATAAACCCAGTCCAAGATGAATCATAATGTGGCTTAGAGACACTTTATATACATTTGCCCCTCTACCCTGAAAGAAGAAAGGAAATCATTATTTTTTTTTCTTTAATGTCTACAGAAGTAACTGACGCGACAAAGAAACTATCTGTTTCCGAAAGTAAAGAAACGAAGACAACATGAAAAAAGAGCAATTCAACTGATGCTTTTTTTTATAGCCATCTACGTTGATGAAGTCGAAGGATGCGACACTAATGGTCAAGGTACCCAGGACGCACCTTTCAAGTCCGTCTTGAAAGCAATTGAAGCCAAGGGCGACAGCATCAAGATTCAAATCAAAAAGGATGCTGAAGGTTTTAAGGAAATCTCAGGTGCTGCTTTCAAAAAGGCCAAAAAGACATTTGCTGAACAACAAAAGAAGGCCAAGAAGCTCCTGGAACAACAAAAGAAACAAGAAGAGGAACTCAAGAAGAAATTAGAAGATGAAGCCAAGGCTTTAGAACATGCTAAATCTATTGTTCTTACCGAAGATGCCTCACTTCCCCCTGCTAAAAAAGTAAATGGTCAAGATATGAAGTTGATAAAAACTTACCCTGTGTATATAGATCAAAATCCGTCAATCTACTGAATGTAGAGGCAAGCGTGTCAAGGTCTCTGGTTGGGTCCATCGTCTTCGTGTTCAAGGTAAAGACATGATGTTTGTCGTTCTCCGTGATGGTTCTGGTTATCTGCAATGTGTCTTGACCGGAAGATTGGTAAGCAATACATGATTCAAAAAAGGGAAAAAAAACTGACCGACAAGGACTGTGTAGTGCCATTCTTTTGATGCTATTACACTTACGATTGAATCCACCATCACTGTATACGGTGTCATCAACGAATTGCCTGAAGGAAAGACAGCACCTGGCAACCACGAATTGGTTGCTGATTATTGGGAAGTCGTCGGTAAGGCACCTGGTGGTGACGATGCTTTCACGAACAAGGTCACTCCTGATGCCGATCCTTCTTATCTCTTGGATAACCGTCACCTTGTCATTCGTGGTGAAACTGCTTCTGCTGTGCTCAGAGCAAGAGCTGAAGTGATCAAAGCCTTCCGTGCCTTTTATGATAAAGAGCATTTTACTGAAGTCACACCTCCTTGTATGGTCCAAACTCAAGTAGAAGGTGGTGCAACTTTATTCGCCTTCAACTATTATGGTCAAGAGGTAAGCATATCTATACTAGATAGGAGAAGGAGAATCGTTATTGATGTTTCGTAGGCTTATCTCACTCAATCATCTCAATTATATCTTGAAACTGCTCTTCCATCACTTGGCGACGTCTTTTGTTTAGCTGAATCCTATCGTGCTGAAAAATCACATACCCGTCGACACTTATCAGAGTACTCTCATTTGGAAGCTGAAATGGCTTTCATCTCATTTAACGACTTATTGGACCATCTTGAAGAAATGATGTGCTTCGTGATCGACAAAGTCCTTGCCGATAAAGAAACTGCGCAATTGGTCAAGCAGCTCAACCCAGACTTCAAGAAGCCCGAACGCCCCTTCCTGCGCATGAAATATGCTGACGCAATTCAATACTTGAAGGACAATGACATTAAGAAGGAAGACGGCACATTTTATGAATTTGGCGAAGATATCCCCGAAGCCCCTGAACGTGCCATGACAGACAAGATCGGTCGTCCCATCTTTTTGACACACTTCCCACATGAAATCAAGGCCTTCTACATGCAAAAGGATCCATCAGATAGACGTGTGACTGAAAGTGTGGATGTATTGATGCCTGGTGTAGGTGAAATTGTAGGTGGTAGTATGAGAATGTACGATAGAGTAAGTATTCTGTGTTCGCTTTTTTTTTGCTTTGTTTGTTAAACATTTCTCCTTTCTCTTTTTTTCTGCTCATAGGAAGAATTATTAGAAGCTTATGCTAAAGAAGGCATTGATCCTTCTCCTTACTACTGGTACACTGACCAACGTAAGTATGGTACAACACCTCATGGTGGTTATGGCCTTGGTGTCGAGCGTTTCCTTGCCTGGTTACTCAACCGCTATACTGTACGTGAATGCTCTCTTTACCCTCGTTTTACTGGAAGATGTACTCCCTAAGTATGTAGATGACATCAATTATAATAAAGAGAAATCTAAAGTGTTCTGTGTAATTTTCGATAAAAAATAACCCCTTTTTTGTGGGATGTGTAAGTAACCCGCTTTGAATGTTCCAAAATGATCGATATAAAAATCGAATACGATAATAGGACAAATAAGAAAGTGATTCTCTGTCCCTTTTTTACTCCTTTCTTTATGTCACAGAACATGATGGAATAAAAAAATTCTTATCATAAACTAATTTATAATCATGGCAAACCAAAAAGTAGCAAAATCTCCATTTTATTCTGCATTTCCCCTAATTCTCGTTTTATGAGTACCATTGCCTGATTTTTACTAAACAGTAAACCGCTTAGTCTTTTGTCCATAATCCTTTATTCCATTCGTCCTTCTCCTTTTTGCATTTTTGGTACTAGTTTATAGGTAAGCATTTTTACACACGGATTATTTTTTTTATTATTCAAGCAAGAAACCAAAAAGGGAACGCTTGATTATTGTACGATTTTGACACATTTAATTTATCTTTACTTTTGATTCTACTTGCAGGAAAAAAAGCATCCCTTCTTTGTGAGACTTTGTTGATCGACCTCTTTATTTTTTTGGGTGCAGCTATGGCGTTTGGTGCATGATGTACCGCTAATGTTCAAATAATTGCAAACCGTATTTCTTTTAGCCCGTTTTTAGCAATTATACAGATCGTAAGGAGTCCTCAATGATATCCCTCCTTATTTTAAATTAAATAGGTTTGTTTACCCCAGCTCCTGTATTTTATAAGCTTATCTCCTCCCTCCCCCCTAATCTTAATGCTTCATCATACATCAAATAGAGAAGTGATAAGGGAAGAGAATTATAAATAAGCTTATGTTTTCTTTTATTTTGATGGATATTCTTTTTTTTTTTTCTCTTCTTCTTATCCCTATGGCATCTTACTCAGACAAACAGCAAATAAGACGCTACAAGTGCCCATTATGCCCAAAATCCTTTTATCGTCATGAACATAAAAAGCGGCATATTCGAATTCATACTGGGGAAAAGCCTCACGCTTGTCAATTTTCTGGTTGCAGTAAACGATTCTCTCGTTCTGACGAGCTCATTCGACACAGTCGAACACACGACACTGCATCGCATGATACCTCTCGGTCATCGTCTTGTGCACATGCAGGACAGGTTCTTTTACCGCCTTTAAGATCAATATACTACTATCCTTTATCAATGAAGCCCCAGCCAGTTGAATGCAGTACTCATTACCAGCCTTTCCTTGCTCACCCACCTTTTTATGCGTCATCTAGACTAGGTTGCTATCCTTATTCTCATTCTAATTCTCATTCCACTCCTTACAAAAAGGATATGCTGTTGCCTCCCATTCATACGTTATTATAATATATTCATAATCATTCTTTATTTTATTGTTTGTGTACATACATTTATCTATATATTTATGCTGGATCATTCTTTAAAACATATTCATTCATTGGGTCTTTCGTACTAATATGAAACTAATAAAAAAGAATATCTATCTCTCTCTTTAATTCAATACAAAAAAACCCGTTTCATTGATCCAAAGAAGAAAAAAAAGAACAGCAAAAAAAGGAGAAAAAAGGGGGGAAGAACATAAGATATTAAACGCTTGGGCCATATTTTGTTGCTAACTTTGCGTTTACCTTTCTTTTTTCTATTTTCCCCCTTTATTCCCCTTTTTTTGATTTATAAATGCATTTGCCACTCTTTTTAAAAAAAAAAGTTCAAAGGTAAGGAGAAGAAAAAGCAAGTAGGGGCCAATTTGTTTTATACTATTTTTGTGCTATTTCCTTGATGACACAGGCAACAAATATCATGGAGTTTTGGCTTCACTAAATAATAATCATAAACGGGATACCTTTTTTTTTTCTCTCTTTTACATATGCATATAACAGAACGTGAAATTTGAAGCACGGTAGTCAAACTATTTCAATGGTGCATTCGAATACAGGGTCCTTTTAAGTAATTAAAAGAATATGCTCGGATAAGATGAGTTTGTAGCATTCAGTTAATGTTCAATAATGCTAATATGTATATGTGGTATTGATAGTAACACACTTGTGACCAAGGTCAAAGGGAGGAGTATCCATAAAATACAGCCATTAGCTGCTTATTCCCGCCCGTGTTACACAATTAAGCCCAGAAAAGCAGGGACAAAACTTTATTTCTTATTGTTCAAACAAGAAAACAATCCATATGATCTGAATTGCTCAATTTTCCAGGGAAACATTTCCTGTTATTTTCCTAAAGTTAAATACTAAACATACAGATATGTCTATGCAGTAGAGCTAAGGGCTCAAGGCTTATGCATGCTTTTTTCTCTCCGTTAAATTGTTGTCTGCAATAAATAGTTCTTAGTTTATAATAACTATCTTTTTGGTTCAAATTATTTTCGATAGTATGCATTGTTTGTCTTGCTTACAAGATAATAATCGCCAAGAATGAGGACAGGACAAAGCTATATGGCTTGTATATTTCAGCCAGCAAAAAGACAAAACTACAAACAATCATAGAAATATCACAAAGGCTCCATGTGAGCTTTTTTTTTTTAGTAAATTAAAAAGTGAGGCTTTGATTAAAAAAAGTACCCAGATAGCTTGTCTTTTGTATATTGAGGCATGCTTTTGAAAAAAAAATACACATAATAGATATAACTATTCCATTTGTATTCTCGAGAGGTTCATAAGTCTGATAGCTGCCTTATGACATAGTTCTTGTGGAATGGTTTTATTAATATAAAAAGAATAGCCCAAAATACACATTTTCTACAAGGCATCTTTGAGGAAAAAAAAATACCATCTATAAATGATATCACTCTTTTCTCTCATTACAAATGACTTTAGCAAAAGCAACAAGTTTTATTGAATATGAGACCAACTATGATTACTTAGTGTAAAACTGTGTCGTATCGGAACCTCGAATGAGGAAGACAGTCAGTGTGACTGTTAAAACAAATTTTTTTTTCTCGAAAAGTATAAAAAGAGTGCAAGATGCTGCATTCCTTTTACTTCTTTACCAATCAGTAGGAAAATAATCTGTTAACAGTGCTACGGCACTGTAACTTTTATTTTCAGATGATGAAAACGGGTATTCGGATGAATTTCGTCTGTTGATTAAAAAGCGCCCTTGTTCTTCTGATCGTACTCTTACTGATGTACAAACTTGTATATATTTGAAATAAACGAAAAACACACACAAAAAAGAACATGACCATACACTTTGACTGGGCATGTTTTTATTAAAAATCTTTTAATAGCTGTAATAAAATGCTCTCGTCTTGCACAGCTAAACCAAGTAGTTTACATACATCATAGTGTTACAAAATTTATGTCAGGAATATGATATGAAATTGTCTATGAAAAAGAATAACTGCGCTGCTTAACACTATGGACTAATTAGCACTAGACCATGTTATGAAAGTGCCATTATATCATCTTTGTTTAACACAGTAATGCTTCGAGGAAAGGGTGTTAGAGTTTTTTTTTTTTTGTAAAAGGTGAGTTTAAGTAAGCCACATACAAAATGTCCAATAAGAACACTTCTTTATCTGAATTTTTTTGAAGAGCAGTTTTAAAGCAGCCATATCGAACATTGAAAAATATTTGAAAATTAAAGAAAATACCAGGAGAGAGGAACTCAAGTGTTGGAAAGGAGAATTCACGCCATTATCAGCAGAAGGCGGTATTCGCGAAATGAAAGCTTTTTGAAATTGGTTACTAGATCCGGAGGCGGCAGCGATCGACGCATTCAATTAAGCTTGGCCGAAGAAAGTCTTATAACTCCACTCGCCATGGAAACTGATTCCAAAAACGCTACGGTATCCCAAAAAGCAACACATCCAAGAAACAATACTGGTGACGCCACTGTGGATAACACAATGCTGGTATCCTATGGCCTTGCGGATGACAAGCTTGCCACTAATTGTGATGAGAGTGAACGGGCATTGGACGTTAGTCGCTTGGAGGCTGGAGACTATCGAACAAGGTCATGTAAATATGGGCATCGACTTGGACATCTCTTCCTTTCTTAACCAACGTATACGGAAACGAACATCTCAAGTGTATTACCATGGTTGGCAAAAATGGATGCGTAGGTGTGTATCGCAAGAAACCGAAAGTCGGTTCCTTAGCTGCGTTTTATATGAACACATGCCTCCAACTGGAAGTAAAGCATCATTATTCAAAACTTTTTTCAAGCAAGACTGAAAACGGTAGTCAAGTTACCGCAGCAAGCACAAATTGAAGTCTGGAACTTGTCCATTTTGGCAAAGCTATATTGCAATCAATTTCAGCGACAACGCCTCTCTTACTATCGGCAAACTGCAACAAAAGACAATTCCTTTACTATGTATTACAGCGATGTGGATCAAGATCGGATATCTATACCATACAAACACGTGACATCCACTTTAAGTTTGATAGTCAGGCGAATCTCACTTGGTTTACACTATTCGTTAGAGCACCAAAGGAAGCTCAGCAGAAACACTCAGTCTTGGACGCCTTATCCCAAAAGCTAATGTATCCTGTATATACACTGTCCACCTTCATGGAAAAACAGGGCATTTGCAATCAGAGCTCCCAGACGATCATACGGTGTTCCTAGCATACGTTAACAATCCCAGCAAAGTACGATCCATTCCACCAAGCACAGTAGCAAATGTTGTGAAACAAGCTATGCAAGAGGCTGGAACCGGCACATATATATACGGAACTCACTCACTACATTTAGCATCAAGCACGAAAGCTGTCCAATTGGGACATAGGATAGTCAACATGAAAAACATGAAAATACATGCAAATTGGAGTCTTTCCACAGACACTTTTGAATAAATTTACTCCAAACTTCCTCATTAAGAGGACAAGCCAACATATAATGGGTTCAATTTCTTCTTCTTCCGAGAACAGTACTGTCGTATTTCTACGTTTATATCAAGGGAGATTATACCCTTTGACATAATGTAATCAATATACATATTTCGTACACAAGCCAAAGTCATCTTTTTCATTCGATATTAGTATAATACCTCTTATCAGACCCACAACGCTGACCTATGGTATATGTAGTCTGTAGTGGTTGATGACGCGTCACATCTAAGACAGTTCATAAGATGTAATTAGTTGACAACATTTATTCTTGCATGTAAAGATCAATTCCCCTTTTGCCACGAATCTCCTTCTTTTCTCTTTTCATAAAAAGACTTATTCCATCTTGCTGTATTCTTATGTTTCAGAGGCAAAAATATTTGTTCATTGACAATATTACAAGTATCACATCTGAAGTCGAAATGAAGGCAACTAAGGTTGAATTAGGAACGACGTTCAGCGTTCGAATCGTACTGCCACCAGTTACTCGTTCTTTCGTCCGTTTTTTTGCTTACAAATAAATTCCCACAGCAAATGGCTTTTTGCTTTCTATCCAACTCTCTCTCTTCTCTCAAGGCAAGTATACGTAAAAGCCTTGGCATCAGCAGCCAAAAACTCTCTAGAGCTCATCTTGTAAAAATACTTGATCATGTACAGTCAGTTACAAAAAAGGAGATGAGCAGAGAAGCCGCTAGCTTATCTTTGCTAAGCCTATCAATTACTGATGTTTAACGAGCTCATTATGCAGCTTCCCCTGGAGAATGACTTGGAAGATATCCAGAAAGTTGACCTAAGCAGTAGATTCGTACTGCCAATTCTTCAGTCTCTTTTCGATGAGCAGCTTGATGATCGAGCCCTGGTTGTTAAGTTCGGCAACAGAAGGAACCTTGAATGTCAACCATCACAGCTGAAGATTTCAGAAAGGCGACCAGGCGGGCCCATTCAAATAAAGGAATCATCAATCAACACAATAACACCTATAGGATTTTTGGAAGCGAAGAAAGTTGCTGAATCCAAAAACCATAGCAAGGTAAACGCTGATCTTTTGCGGCTAGGCGTATTTGGTAAAAATGTTATTGACACCAAGAGTCTACGATCAGTTATCCTAATTCAAGCAGTTGGAAAAAACTTGACTTTTTACCTAATGTCAAACCCAACAGAAGATATATACTTGATGACAGAGCTTGATCATATCAAGTTCCCCCTATCCGTAAATGAGCTGCAGGGCACATATGACTATCTGGACAACATTTGTGATGTCTTGTATATTTTTTCAAGAGAATGCGCTAACCCTGATCTCAATGAAGCCATATTGCATAGGGGTTCAATAAGGTTGCCTCTGATTCGAGCTATAATTTCAAAAAGAGTAGTTAGGAAGCTCAAGAACAGTGTTCAACACTACTGCCTGTAAAGCTTATCTCCTTTTCTATATATTATAATTTTCATATGTTAAATAAAGCAAGCTCTTTTTAATTTATTGTTTGATTTTTACGCAGCTCAAAATCTTGCTTAACCTTTATACGAAACATAGCAGTTATGGCATAATCGCTTCATTAACTCTATTTGGGCGATACATATGCATTATTGAGCGGTTGAACTCACTCTTAATTCAATTACTGCTTCCTTGAAAGTGTTAGCAAACTTTAGTATTGAAGTGCGCTTATTCTAAGGCCCCACTTTATTATTCATTAATAGTCATTATTCTAGTTTATTTTTTTACCTGTATGTTCAACACTTCATAACAAAAAACTGAGCAAATGAATTGCCTTTTTTGGATAACCCAGTTTCAAAAAACAAGGTGTAATTAGGATAATCATTTAACCTCGATTCAAACCTTAGTTAGGGGACTAATTAAAAACGATCATCAAAGGTTTATATAGTGTATGAACAATAAAAATTAGACACAGTAGCCAAATACTTGTTAAATTATTCAAGATGTTAAGGGACATATAAAGACGGTTACCCACAAACTAAAGGAATATAGGTTGCATGATTCTTTGTACTCTCATAAAGCGCACTCACCTACTTGATTGAGTTGTACAAGACGTGTTATGAAGCTTTATCTTTTCTTAATAGTCACATCTTTTCATTAATGAAGACATGCTTGGAAAAGGCAAATCTTATGATGAACCATAACATTCACGTTGCACACCAATTCTTACAACAATAAGAATTGCAGTTCAAGTGCATAGTTGTGTATATTTCTTGTTTTACTAATGTGCTTTATATCGCATCTGATGAAAATAAAAAAAAGAACAATAGTAGCATAAATATTGCCACTGGCACAGGCCATCGACTGATTTGACTATTTCAATTTAAAACTGAATACAACACAGCCTCATATGCATTCTCAAGCCAGACGCACGAACTTATTCTATAAGCTAGTATGACGAATTTCAAAGCAAAAAGCTCAAACAGCACAAGCAACGGTGATGAGGCAGAAACGTTTTGCTCTAAAGTTGTAACCACCTTAGCATAGGCTAATAAGATAAAAATCCGACATCAACTTTCCAAAAGTTATGCCGAACCTAGTAAATAGTTTGTTTAAAGAGCATATGTTGTATTTTTCCATTTTTATTGCTTTTGAGAATGGGGAAAGGATGATTATCATCTGTTATCATTCTATTTCAGGTCAGTCTTCATGATGTCAATGGATCTGTTTCTTGAAAGCAAAGACATATAAGCAACTGTCCTTTTGATGATGGAGTTTTTAGTGGAGTCAAAATTAGTCAGAGCGAGGCTTTGTTATGGTAAATATTTTTATATCTGTTTAATGCTTATTTTAGGTCTAACTTCAAAGGGCGTAGTCAGTTCCCTGACTTTTTACACTTTTTGTTGTTTTTTAGCAATAGGCTGAGTTTATTCTTTACATTCTGTTGTGTCAGCAAGTAGCATCGTGTATTGTTTATTTCATTAATAACGGATTGACTTTGATAATAAAGTTGAATACAACAAATGGTGAAAAAATAACCTTTCTCTCGAGGAAACATATCGGAGTTTAAATCTAAAATCGTTCTTGGTTTCTCTTTTCATCAACTTTAATTTACATAAAGCATCGTGTGTGTAATACTTTTCATTGTATTTTAATATTAAAAAAAAAAAGAAAAAAGAAATACAAGCTTCTTTTTTCTGTTTCTTTTTCTTTTTTCTTAAATATAAAGTGTCAATCATGGGCAATCAGACATCTCGCATCGATCAACATGGCAGCAATGATCCCTGCTTAGATAATATGAAAGAAATACACGACAGTAATAGTCAAGATCCCTTCAAGAGGCAATACTCTTTACCGTCTATTACTAACGAACATGACCGCATAAAGCCCAGAAAACAGTCTTCACCTGCAGCAGTTGACCCCACAAGAAGAAAACAGCTTAGAAAGTTCTTTTTTCGAAACAATACCACACCAAACAGTCCTCTTATAAAAGGCGATATACCCCACGTTCAGTTGGCAGCTTCCTCTTGCTCAACATTTCAATCACAAAGATATATCCACCCTCTGACCACTACATCCTCATTTCATTCAATCGATCATTATTCCGAGAATGAGCCTTATTCTACAAGTGTTGATACACCAAGATATACCATACAAGACGATGAAAGGGACTATAATTATGCGACAATACAAAACAGAACATACCGAATAGCGAGTAATAGTAGTTATTTATTACCTTGTGATGATGAAGAAGTAGATAGACTGCATTTACAACACTTTATGATACGATTTGCTATTCAAGGGTGAGTTTTTGTCTTTTTTTTTTTGCTTGTTTTTGGATTATTCTAAATGACGTGTGTGTGTGCTTTAGAAACTATTTAGCACCGGTACATGACTTGCTGAGAAAGGGTGGTAGAGTATTAGATGTTGGATGCGGTCCAGGCGCTTGGTCTATGGAGATCGCAGGAGAGTATCCAAAATCAGTAATCACTGGCATCGACATGGCTCCACTCTTTCCACGAGATATTAAGCCGACCAATTGCGCATTTTATCAATCCAACATTTTGAACAAGTTGCCATTTGAGGATAGTTCATTTGATTATATTTTCATGCGGTAAGTTCGTACTTATTTAATCGTATGACACACGTGTTGACACATCTGTGGCAGATTCATGAATCAAGCAGTCAGCATAGAGCAATGGGATAGCGTATTATCAGAATTAAATCGTGTGCTGAAGCCTGGCGGATGGATCGAATGGGTGGAGGCGGATGTTGAGATACATAGGCCAGGGCCTAATACAAAAGAGTTTAATCAGAAGTTAATTGAGTTAATGCAACAACGTCATCAAGATCCATTCATCGGAAGGAATCTGAAGGAAAAATTAAAGGAAATAGATCAGTTCATCCATATATCTTCCATGTTTGTATCATGTCCAGGAGGTCAATGGGCAGGAAAGGTAAAGACAATAAAAAGAAAAAGGATATAGTACTGACCCCCTTTCTTTAGCTTGGACAGTTAACCATACAATCTTGGAAAGCTTATTATAGAGCACTGGGGCCATTATTATGTGATCTTTGGGATATAAATGAAAAGGAATATATGGAGAGGTTAAAACAATGTTGGAGAGAAGCTGACGAGTACAAAACATTTGAAAATATCCATTTCTGTTATGCACAAAAGAAAAGTTCTTAAAATTATTTACTTGTATTTTCTACTATTCATCTAATGCTAATACCAATAATACTAATTGTAATAATAATAATAAACAATAATATACCAGTGACAACATTTGGTTTATTATACATTAATATATTCAAACATGTTCAATGCTTGCTTTTCATTGATTGTAAATGCAGTTGTAGGAACTGAAATATTACTCTGATGGAACTGGTTTAAGGCAGTGAATCTCTCATCCATCTCAATATCTATAGCCTATATAATATATATATATATTTGTGAGCATTGATAGTGACATTACTCTGTAACTTACATAATTTGGCTTATAGAAATAACGACAGTGTGTAATATCCAATCCATCTCTTGTAAATCTAAAGTTGATTCCTCTTATATTTTCTGTTGCATTCAACCTTGAACAGACTTGTAATACTTCATTTTCAAACTATGATAACAACAATGAGCACCTTTAATGAATTATTTTTCATTGTATTATTTTGTACCTTGATCATACGTCTCTTACTGATCCATGCCAATATGAATGAAGTAAGTAGCATAAAGACAGGTAAACCAAGCAGGATATAACTGGCATGAAACTTTATCCAAACATAATAAAACACTGTAAATGCTACCATCCACAGCATAAATAATCCCATCATATAATACATCCTAGACGTAGGTGGTGGATGCCTTTTTGCTACTTGATTAAATAAGGCCATAATGGCATGAAATTCATGAATAGTAAGCTATATAAATATAGTTTAGATCAAAATAATACATTTATTTAGTGAGACTTGCATTGCTTTCAAGCTCGAACGTGTATTGATCGTCAAACTTTTTTCTGTAGTAAAATCGAACACTCTTCATCGCGCGAATGTAAAGTATATGTGAATAAGAAAAAGAAGAAGTAGAAGAAGCAGATAAAATATGGATCCCCCTTTTTTTAAAGTAAAGAAATGTACCTTATTTTTTTTTTTCTTTGTTGGCCACAATTAAAAAGTTTATTATACTATTTTTAACATTTCTACTTATAATATGCCACTTTCTCTGTGTGAGCCAGACAATACACGATCCAAGTTATAAGCAGCTAATGGTTTATGAGTATATTATATGTACGAATAGAATAAAAAAGCGACTTACCACTAATGAATGATAAATGAGTGAATGCTTGAGGAAAATTACCCAACATTTCTCCAGACCTTGCTACTTCTTCAGAGAATAAACCGAGATGGTTGCCGTATCCAAGCATTTTTTCAAACATGACAACGGCTCTTGTTAGCAACCGTTTGTCATATTTACCTGCCCTTGTCAATGCTTCCACGAGCCAGAATGTACACATCGAAAAGGCCCCTTCTAACCCCCCTACGCCATCGTCGGTGGTTAAGAAATTATATCTAAATACGAGATCATTGGCTACAAGACCACCCTTTTCAGGTGGCAAAAGAATGCGCTTGATCGTGTTTAGTAAACGCGGGTCAGAAGGTGATGAGAAGAAAACAAGGGGCATGATCAGAGTACTAGCGTCCAAAGCGTCTGGCGATTCGATGCTCATGGTGAATGTTTGTAGCTCCTTGTTATAGCATCGCGTTTGGACTAACTCATAAATTTCATCACGTGTCTCCATCCACTTTTGTCTGTCTGGACAAGGGAACACTCTCTTCTCTGCCAATCGAAGTGCTATAGGTAAACAAATGATATGTGGGTTCTACATGTATCTTTTGTACGTATTGCATCCTTACCTCTATCAATAGCAACCCAACACATGACGAGTGAATAAGTAAAATGTTGCTTTCTTCCTCTTACTTCCCAGATGGACATATCCGGCTGGTTCCAATTAGCACAGACGTAGTTTGCCAATTTACGCACTGAACACCACATGTCGTAGGATATAGGTGAGCCATACTTGTTGTACAGGTAAATGCCGTCCATGAGTTCTCCATAAATATCCAACTGTAAATGGTCATAAGCTCCATTACCGATTCTCACCGGTCGAGAGCCTCGATAGCCGTCCAAGTGAGTGAGCTCCGTCTCATCTAGTCGTTTTACTCCGTCAATACTATACATGATGTTTAATGATCCATCTTCATTCTAGAAATGAAACAATGAGTATACAACTGTATGGTTATTTGGTGATTCTATATACCAAATCACTGCATCGGTCTTCTATGTACTTCATAAATTGACCAGCTTCTTTGGTAAATCCTAATCTCAGGAAAGCATAGATTGTGAATGAAGAGTCGCGAATCCATGCATAACGGTAATCCCAATTACGCGGTCCTCCAATAGCTAAAATGCATGAGCTGTGAGTTATATATGCCATTTTTCTCTTTCTCTCTCCTTGACTTACCTTCTGGAAGTCCAAAGGTAGGACTAGCAACAACTGCTCCTGTCTGATGAAGCGCATTTGAATCAGCTTTATCAACATACAGCGTGGGGAAAAACTTACCGGTTCATAAGTCAGCAATTTTAATGTCAAAGCGCTTCTGAGGACATGTTCTCGCCATCGACCTTTGTAAGTACTTTCTGAGACCCAGTTTAACCAAAACATACTGGTCTGTCTGAACAGAGCATCCAGTAGACTCAATGTCAGTGGCGGGTCAATGGCTATCCGTAGTTTTCTATCCACAGGCGATTCGTTATCGACTGACTCCTTTTTAGGCACCTCACGAAAGACAAACTCGACCTCTTGCGTCTCTTGAAGTTCAAATACCGCATAAACGCCTGGACCTTTATGATGCTTGTCATCATGGTCTATGACACACTGAATCCTGGGACATTCGAACTCACCGCATTTGACCAAATAGCGCAAATCCATTGTCAAGTCCTTGGTTTTGAATATAGCGCGGTCCTGTGCGGTATAATAGTGTAAATCACGATCATTGTATAGTTTGGCCTCAAACCCCACAGCCTCTTCATGTTCCTTTGACGTCTGATCTCTCACAATCTCTGTCGTGTGCTCATTCATTCCAAAATTGAAAGCTGGATAGCACTCCATCCTGAAGCTTACTTTACCACGAATGACAGATACCTTACGAATGATCCATGGCAGTAGCGGCTTGGTCGACGTATTCTGTCCTTGAATAGGTACATGCATGAAATCGGTGATCTCTGCCACACCTTCGTCAGATAAGAATCTGGTAGTCAAGATGTTGCTATTGGGCAAATACATCTGCTTGTTACTTGAGTACCGCGTACATGGATTGACCGAAAAGTGACCACCTTTATCCCTGTCGAGCACACGGCAAAAGACGGTAGGAGAATCAAATTTGGGATAGCAGAAAAAATCAATAGAGGAATCTGTGCCGACGAGAGCAATCGTGCGCATATTGCCAATGATACCATAGTTTTCAATCGGTAAGTAACCTTGTCTTCGATGTCCAAAGGTAGTATTCTCCAAGTTGAATTTGGTAAAGTGTTCTGGATTGATGCTTTGACGGCGTGTATCTGCTACATATCGAACTCCCTGTGGTAATTGCTCACAGCCTTCTTCTTTGGCTTCAATTTCTGACTCTAGTTGTAGGCCATAGGATCGATCCTTTTGGTCACTGCTTTCTGAAGGCATTCAATGATGGCTTTAAATAATAGTAATAATAAAAAGAAAAAAAAAAAAGGATAAAACGTCATTCTGTTCAATTAGCATGAAAACAACTGAGCTTGTCAGAGGTAAATTGGTTTCCCGACAATACCCCCATTAGTAATGATGTTTCTCCCGCATAAGACAATAGAAGCTCGATGACGTTTATAGCACATTCTTTCTCAAAATAGAGATTAATTGATGCAATAGGCTGACAAATTAAAATTCATGTATGTTCAAAGATTTTTACGCGCGTTGTTAAATCAAACGTACCAAAAGGCACTTTTAGAAAAAATGATAATGCTTTTTTTGGATTTATTAAATGCCTCTCTGCTCATCTCCTTTCTTGTAATTGATTGTACAAGATCAAGTGTTTTGTTAAGATGAGTGTGATATCGTCTAGCAAATATTTTTACCTTGAACATATAAGAATGCGGCAAGATGGAATAGGTCCTCTTGCAGTCATTTATAAACAGAGAAAAGAAAGAGATTCGTGGCAAAAGAAGAAATTGATCCTTTATATGCAAGAATAAATGTTATCAACCAGTTACATATTATGAAATATATCATATGACGCGTCGTCAACTAATACAGATTATGGATGCCGTTATGTATCAGCAATAGGAGTTATACTTATGCAAACGAAAACAAACATGCACTTTCAAAGCAAAAGTAGTTTTGAAAGACTTTCTATATTCTTTATGCTTCTGACTCTTTCATACAGTCAAGCTACCGTTAAAACAAACGCAGGTACACAATATGCATCCAAACTTAAAGAGTACTTTATACATTTTAAAAGGTTAAATTAAAAAGCTGCAAGGATAACTTATTAAGAAACAAATAGATAAGTGTGATAGAAACAATAACTAAACATAAAAAGAAATATCGCCTTCTTTATTAGAAGAGGATATATAAAAGCCCTACTATTTTTTTAAAAAAAAGGTTTCAGTAAAGAGATTCTAACCTTGGCTAGATATCAAGCTGGTACTCTAAAATACCAGCAGTCCGGGGGCCCAGTCAGTAAATGAAAAATCTAAAGGAGGTGAGTATCAAGAATGTTTTAATGCAGTCGCAAGGCAGAAAAGTGCGTACTATTTTACGGAAACCACAAATTACTAGTTACATAGGTGCCTTTATATTCGGCCAGCAAGATAATCTACCACTGAGTAAGTAATAAGTACTTACCTAAGTCATTAATTAGTATACAAGCTAATAAAGAAGGAAGAAACAATTATGTAGCAATCGGCATTCATTTACAGCGTCTCACTCATTTTATTGACTACTTTATACCAAATATACATGTATAGTGCGTTTCACAAATCAGTTCAATTATCCTAAAAAAAACTTGATGGAAAGACCGTTTGAGAAACTTAGGAGGGAGGAGTTCAAAGCCTCCAATAAGCTTTATTACTATCCTGACCCACCATAGATCATACTCTGTAGATCAGAAACCTCTTTTACCTTCCTATACATAACTGATAATCTCTTGGAATCTTTGAGAGCAACTAGATGATATGGAAGAATGTTTTGCACTAATGTAAAAAAAAAAATAGCAAACTTGTAACCATTTATTGATTGGCAGCGTATAAACAAGGCAAAACCTTTCCACTACATTCACCAAAACCAATGCGGTATTGTCCGTTCTTGCATTCACCTGTGATCTTTACTTCATCTCCATCTTCTAAGAATAAGCGCTCGACGCCATTTTCAAAATGAATCTTGTCTCTTCCACTCCATGTGATTTCAAGCAGTGAACCAAAGGAACCCTTTTCCTATGCCAAGTATTAGCTTCTACCCTTAATATATATATATATATATAAACTTACAGGCCCAGAGATGGTTCCGGTGGCGCCCATGTCACCTGGCCTCAGGTTACAGCCATTGACTGTGTGGTGAGCTAATTGTTGAGTGATGGACCAGTACATATATTTGAGGTTAGACACGGCCACAGTTTCGAATTTAGATGAGCCAGCAGCTAGATTTACGCGTTAGTCATTCCTTTAGATCCACCGATGTGACTTACGCTTGATTTCGACATTCAGATTGACATCGTATGCGGAAGGTTGCTTTTCTTGAAGATAAGGCAAAGGCTCAGGAGAGGATTGAGATGGCCCATCAACAAGGAAAGGTTCAAGAGCATCCAAAGTGACGATCCATGGTGAAATTGTGGTGCCAAAGCTCTTACCTAAGAAGGGGCCAAGAGGGACGTATTCCCAGGCTTGGATATCACGAGCTAGTAAAAAAGTAGTTAATAAAACCAGGCTTATATGCGTCTATAATGGCTTACCACTCCAATCATTGACCAAGACAAGACCAAAGATATGATCCTTTGCATCCTTAATTTCAACTCTTTCACCAAGCTTATTGCCAGTACCAACAAACCATCCCTAGACCAATATTTAGAACACACTCCGAATTACTTTTTCTCTTGACTTTACCACTTCTAATTCAATATCTAATCTAACAGAGGGACCGAATACGGGAGCCTTGGCATCCTTGGCTGGAAGACGCTGTCCAGCAGGTCGACGAATATCAGTTCCAGAGACAACCACGGATGATGCACGACCATGGTAGCCGACAGGAATGTGGAGCCAATTGGGTTGAAGAGCATTATCTTTACCACGGAACATGATGCCAACGTTGGTGGCATGTTCACGAGAGCAATAGAAATCTGTGTAGTCTCTAAAGTCCTTTATCAGTCGTTGTTTGTCCGAATCAAAAGTCTAGTTCATACCCGATCTGTGCTGGCAAGTGCATTTTAACAGAAGAAAGAGGAATAAGAGCCTTTTCTAAGAGTTGGCTGTTATCTCTTAATGTAGGTTCATCCTTAGATAAGAGTTTTTGAATTCTTAATCTTGTTTCTCTCCACGCAGGGCGTCCCAAGGACATGAATGTGTTTAAGGATGGCTTCAAAAAAATTAACAACGTGTCTCTCTATACCCTCTCTATTAATATTACCTCACTGAAAACTTTAACAGGATCTTCCAATCCGGCAATTTGGTTCAACAAACCAGCTTTAGCAATTTCAGACAAGTCGAGAGCATAGTCTCCAATAGCTGTAGCAGCGCGTGGCTCTTGCTAATGTTCATATTAATCAAACTGTTTTCAGAATATATTTAAATATACCTTCTCGGCGGTAGAAATGATACCAAATGGAATATTTTGAATTGGGAAGTCAGAGTTTTGAGACACGGTAACGAAGCTTTCAGTGGACATGGTGTAAAGTTGGTGGAAAGGGAGAAGAAAAGCACAAATAGAGTAAATTGTTTATAACTGCAAAAAAACGACAGGTCAGCTGACCGTGGTATAATAGAGTTGATCTGTGTAACCAGGAATTAGGGCACTATGTGCGATCCTAGTTATTGACAGCCAAGTAGTCAATGAGGGCTTTAGAGACATTTAGAGATCAAGATTATATTAAGGCTGAAATAATTATGCTTATGTAGTGAGCTTTTTCTAGTTATTATAATTAGAAAACAAAAAGATAGTCTGAAAGATAATCGGCCAAAAGGAGTTTGCGTGGTGTTTTAATTCAAACAAAACCCTGAGAAATAAAAAATATTTGCGTCCGTTCACAGTTGAATGCGTATAAAACTTGTGTCAAACAGCTCAAGGTTATAAGTCGCGTTATTCATATAAATAAAGGAGAAGTAACAATTCTTCATCAACTACTGTTATAATGACAATTATGGCATTGTATTTCTGTCATAAATCAATTATAAGCGCATTCACTCACTTATGCAAGTCTTTATTTCTGTATCTATTTCATGTTTCCTCATACTCATAGATGCGAATGTTTTATCTTTTTTTTATTGTATCGCTTTCAGTATCCATGTCGACAAAAAGTTAACCTATATCCAACCATATCGTACTTAAAATGCAAGAATTTAAGAATGTGTGGGCTTATTTTAATGTAAGATAAGAATAATGATAAATAATACAATATAAGAAAGCATTCTTGTTCTAGCATTTTATATCTAAGTTTACTACTGTTCCTGAGGTAAAAGATAAACAATGCCATAACTTGCGCCTGCTGCTACAGCGCCAATCAATAATGTTTGGAATGCACCCGAAATAGCACCCTTTGGATTAACCAATCTGCTCTTAATATATCCAAATATTAACAATGTTAATGAGGTAACGGCAATAGAGGCATATAAGCCAATGGTTGCATCGTCAATAAAGAAGTAAGGAATTAAAGGAATCAACCCACCGATAAAGTAGGAGAAGCCAATTGTCAACGCGGAAATCTAAAAAAGAAGTTAGTGACATTAAAGACTTGCTCTTTTTTTTTGTTTTTTTTTTTGTTTTTTTTTTTTTTTTACCCAACTACGATGAGGATCTGGCATTTCCAAATTCAACTCAAACTTCATCATGAAATCAACAAACTTTTGAGGATCACTCTTTAGCTTTTCAATAAGAGGTTGAATTGTTTCTCGGTCAAGGCCATAAGGCTCTAAAATTTCAACAATTTCTTCTTCTTCGTCCTGTGGACATTCTTCTACTTCAAGTTCTTCTCTAATACGCTCAGTTCGATAGTGTTCCATTTCTGCTCTAGCAGCTAGATAGCCTCCCAAACCCATAGAAATTGCTCCACTACACATCAAGAAAATATATATATATAAATACCCTTTTAGAAAATTATAGTCTCAAAAAATATTACCTCACAAGTTCTATAAGAGATATTAATAACCTAGCTTAAAGGCAATATACTTGTCTTACCAGCTGCACCACCATAGATAACAATTTTGGAACTACCAAGGGAAGAAAGGCCAGCAGCCAAAGCAAAGGGTACAGTTAAACCGTCTAATGAGCATTTAGCTGAGTAACGTGTTTATTGTTTTATGCTTGTTCTCATTTTACCAGAAAGACCAATAATAGTATCGCGCACTATTTCTGCTGATTCAAAATGTTCTTCCAAGTGACGATAAGGAGCTGCTTCATGAGAAGGTCTTCGACGAAGTTTGTTGATAAGTGCAGACATTTTTTGAGAAGAGAAAAAAAAAGCAAAGTCAATTTGCACTTATGCCGGTACTCCGCGCTACTGCAGCTTTTTTATATCGCGCTTCTTTCAGCTTTGCAACCACATCTCAGTCCTACCAACGAAAAGTGGTGATACTCTTTACAAAAAAAAAAATACTTTGTGCGATCATAGCTTATTGCTATAGCAACTTGTCTGTTACGATGCTATTAACATACATTGATCTTTCAAATGTAGTTATGATAGACTTTTTTTTTTTTGATCCGCCATCTGAATATTAAATGTAACTTTTGCCTAAAGTTAAACAATTACAGAATCCCTCTTTTGAAAGAATGAAAACTGAGAGTATGATATGAGCTATTCTAGTCGCGCCTTTTATTTATACATATAAATGAAAACAATAAATTCTGTCTATATAACCTTCAACGCGATTATATATTCACAAAGAGTGGTCTTGTTATCTAAATCTAGTGTTACGTGCAGTCTTGCAGATATACTTATTATGTTTCCTTGGCACTGGCACATTCGTTTGATCTTTATACTAAAGTTTCTACTCTATCTATCTCATGTCAGCACATTTCTCATCGTGGCATGTAATTCCCATCTTTATTTACAAAATTATAACTTTTACGTATACATGTAAAGAAAAAGTATGAAACAAAAATGGTTCTCGGCTGCTATGGTTACACGGGCCTTGGTTGTATCAATGTTGAACATAGTTAAAACTTGCAAAGCATTTTAAAGAATGATGCACATTAAGCAGCTATATGCCTTAATTCTTATAAAGTATTCGCTTAAAGAAAATAAACGATAATGAAAGAAAAAGAATGCAAGAAGCAAAGTATTCATTATGTATAGAAAATATGTTCAAAAAAGGAAAATATGTACATGTACTCCTCTGTACTATCGATAAGCTCCACCAACAGATTCTCACAATAAAAATTGGATAGTATTATAATGTCTTCATTGCTTTTATTCAAGCATGAGATGTCTTGAATAATATTACTTTGTATCTCGTTTGTATTATTATTTTGTTTTTTATGGCTGAATTGTGCTTGGTGTCACCGTAGAACTCCACTAGCATAGATGATGGTTTGCTATTTCTCGGATAGAAAGCAACGTCGTTCTACTTGACATCATTGGTAGAGCTAATTTCCCTTTTTATCCAGCTTTAAACTATATTAATACTATTATTATCATCTTTTAGGCTCCATCCAAGCTGCAAGAGACCATTGCTGGTTATATAAGATCTCTGTTGTGGTGAGAGTTTTCTAACCACTGTTGTTGGAACGGGTAGCTTGGAATTTGAATAGTATAAACTATACAATAGGATATACAGTTGAAATGTAATATAAAAAAGCGGTTGCAATGTTTCTGACACAAGATCCCAGTGAAATAGCTTCTGGCAAAAGAGGAAATGTTGGCTTAAGTTGCCTATTCGAATCCTTCTTCAAACGCCAAATTTTTCTAGACTTTAACTTTGAGCATTCATTCATATCAAATATCTAAACTTACTGTTTTATTAAAAATAAATTTCAGAAAGAGGATAAAATTATGACGTGTATGAAAAAATAATTGGCGCATATTAAAAAAAGTATTTACGCAAAGGTTAAAAATAAAATGCATGCAAAAGAGACGACATACAAATGAGAGTAATAAGTATCAAAGAGAGAATATAAAGAATTATACAGTTAGTTATGTAAGAAAATCATTATATATAACTTACCCCGAAGGCATCTAGATGTGTCCTAGCGATAACTAGGACGGAGAATCATCGTCTA